CCACAGCGACAGGTGCATCCCACGCCCGCCCCCAGGAGCCCAGGGGGCGCTGTGGCGAGGAGCCGGCCCCTGCGCGCTGCCCGCGGTCCCCACGGCTGCCCCGAGACCAGCCGCGTCTGGAGCGCAGCGCCCCCTGCCGGTGGCACCCGTCCTGTCCGCCCGACGCGACCAGGCCGCGGGAACGACCAGAGCACAATTATTGTAACGGTCGGCTCGCTCCTTCCTTTCACCCGGAGGCTCGACTTTGTCTGGGGCTGATGCAGAGTCTCGCTGTAGCTACGCGAATGGTTCACCTTATGGGATTGATTCATATTTTTCTATGGTTTTTACCTGACTGCGGTCGCGGGGTGGTTTTTTTGTTTTTTCCCTCTGTGCTCGTTTGGTTTGTTGGGTTTTGTCTGTTACCCTCGGTTTTCTTTCCGTTTTCTCCCGCCGGCGTGTAAGCTTCCCGCCTGTCTGGATGGAGAAGCGGGCCTGGAGTAACTAACCGCTCCCTCCTCGAGGTTAGACTTCAGGGGCTTTAGACGGAGGGGAAAACGCATCCAATGCTATTTACTAAAACAGGGAAGTCCGTGAATAAAAGCTCTCTCCCGCCCAGCTGCATTAGGGTTCGGCTTAGATCCTCACTGTCCGTTTACCTGTGTCCTACACCCACCCCTTTCCTCCCTGGTAAGTTGTCAAGTCCGTTCCGATGCCATTTAGTAACAAAAAAACAAAAACACCATAAAAAGGCCAAGTGTCAACTCCACCCCAGGTCTGTCCCATGTGCTCAGGGGACGGGAGCCCTTGGGGAAAGTGTGGGCCTGTGTCCCCGGCCTGGCAACGCTTGGTGCCTGCCCCCCACCTGCAAGCAGCCACGTGGATGCTGTGAGGCCCCAGGACCAGCCGCTGCCATGGGTGCCCCTGTGTGTTTCATTTTGTTGTATATAAACACGGGCATGTGCGTCAGGTGCTGCGCTGTGTCCCCGGCCCCTCCCACGGGTCCCGTCCTGTGTCACCTGCATGCGGCCTCTGGCTGGTCTGCACCCCACAAGTGCTAGTGTGGACTCTGTCACTCACCCCCATCCCTTCGAAGTTCGTTAACAGCCTGAATGTCAGCCCTGACGCTCGGGGCTCCTACGTCATCAGCAGAGAGGGGACGTCCATGTCGCTTTGGTGTTCGGGGTGAGGGTGTCATTGGCACGAGTTGGGTGGCTCCGTTGGGAAGTCTCCAGCACAGGATTTTTTAGAGGTGCCAGGTCGCCATTATGGAGAGGAACGAGGTGCTGGCCTGGGGACTGCTGGGACGGCCACGTGGTCACGCTTCTGCTGTTTTGTGGGTCTGCCGGGGACACCGGCTCTGGCCACTAGGTCCGATGGGAAGGGCGTGAGGACGTGGCGTGGCGCGTGTGCTCATCCATGGAATAAAACATTATTTTACCACGCAGAGACCTCTGTGCTTGCTTACCCTCCAGCATGTTGCCTTGGAGGGCGTGGGGACCATCAGGAGGTCTTCGAGGTGCCCACTGAGCCCTGCCCGAGATGGTGCCCATGCCCCAGAGCCTGCGGGCAGCAAGCAGACGGTCCCCGAGGCACCAACAGGGTTGATCACAGACAGGGCAGGACCAGTCAGACCTGCAATTCCAGATCAGTCAGAAAAAGTGAGTGAGTTTCATCTGGGAAGCTCTGGGGTGAGCATAGGTGTCCCCTGCACTAGAGTAAAACTGTCCTCCCTCGAGGCCACCACGTTGCCACTACAGTAAACCCTCGATTTTGTGGACCCTCGATTTAACGGACTTCGAATTTAACAGACTTTTCCAGACCGTATGTCATACATGAAAACCGACACCCCGTTAATTTTAAAATGCTTTTAACTAAGATTTGCTTATAATTAAATTAACAGGTTATTTTTGTGTGTGTGTTATTAACTCATTGCTATGTTTAACACGTTTTAGCGAATAGGCCGTATGTTGGAAGAAACACTGCAGTGATTCGCCCACGTAAATGCGTATCACATACCTACAACTACAGTCCGCATATTTAAGTCCAAGAGTCTCCGCTCGTAAACAGTGTTCAAGGAATGATCAGCACGTGGTCACACCACGTGGGGCATGCTAACTGCTTCTGTTGTCACATGGGGTGACTTTCTGCAGGAGTTTTAAGGTGGCCGACGTTCCCCCGTGTGCTCAACCACACCTACCACTAAGCCACGCCCGAGCCACCACTAAGCCACGCCCGAGCCACGTGCATTGTTTGCGCACGTGACTGGTGAATGCACCCGGTTACTTAGTAGACCTCCTCAGTATCAATTTAAAATGACAGTGACACAAATAGAAAACTTCCCTGTGGAATTAAACTTTTCATACACAGTTTTAATCACATAAACGTGTCTACGTAAGTAGAAACAGGTTAACCAATGTGTCGATTTTTTAACATACACATTCAGAAAACCCACTTTATTATATCACGGACTTTCAGCTTGAACGACCCCCCCCCCCCCAATTAGCCTGTTATATCAAGACTTTACAAACGCCGGCCCCTGTGGGGAATCCGTTCATGTCCAGTTCACGCAGTAAGTCTGAGAGCCCAGCCGGGAAAGCAGGGGGATTGATGAGATAAATCCAAAGCCCTGAGCGAGGGCACCTCAGAGAAACGAGATCGGTGCCGTCACCCCAGCTGGGTCAGCTGCACCGTCTCCCCCGCCTAGACCAGAATCAATACGCAGGGCTGGGTGCTGGTCCCGAGAGGCCGGTTCCCTTTTGCAAACCACAAGCTCCAAAACAGCCGTCACTGTCTGAAGTCTGTCCCCACCGCACCCCCCACCGCCCAGATAGGGGATCCAAAGCCCCGAGAAGGCACGGGAGTCCCCCACGATCCCACGGGAAGCAGGGCGGCCCCATGTCCGTTCCCCCTGCCCCGGCTGTGTCTTCTCATGCTGGGCTCTGACGCCTGGGCCACCTGGGTCTAGACTGTCTCCTGGGGGCTCCACGTCTCCAGCACGGGGCCCCAGCACAGCCTGGCCGACGTGGAGCCGGGCTGGCTGGCACTGGGCCTCAGGGTCTAGGTTCTGAACAGCTGGCAAAGCTACAGGGTTTCCAGTTCATGCCTCTTTTCCAGGAGATCCCTCCGGGACCCAGCTGACCGGCGTGAGTGCAGGGAGGGGCACGGAAACAGGGGCCCGGGCCAGCCTCCCCTCCAGACCCACGCCCCTCAAACTTTGGTCCAGGGTGCAATTCCAACTAGCTCTTTGTAAAAGTAGACGCTGAGCCCCAAGACACCACCACACACGCGCGAGCCCGCGCTCGGGCAGTGCCACGCTGGATTCCACGGCCCCGGCCGTCTCGCCTGCTCCGGCCCTGCAGAGCCTGCGCTGTCACTGAGGATAAGCTTCGGCCCCCAACTATTCAGAATCCTGATCATTTCTGAACCCAGAGACGATTTCTGATCCTAAGAGGCCGGCGTGGCTCAGTGGTTGAGCGTCAACCTATGAACCAGGAGGTCAGGGTTTCATTCCGGGTCAGGGCACAGGCCCGGGTTGTGGGCTCGATCCCCAGCAGGGGGCGTGCAGGAGGCAGCCGGTAGATGTTTCTCATCAGTGATGTTTCTCTCTCCCTCTCCCTTCTTCTCTCTGAAATAAATAAAAAATAAATTTAAAAAAATAATACAGACGAGGTCCCTGGGTGGCAGCACTTCAGACGGCAGGGGGAGGGTCTGCCCGCGTCAGCGCATTCGCCGGGCCAGCTCAGCTCTGAGGCGGCCTCCAGCGTCTCTGCACAACCCCTCCTCCCTCCCTGAGCTCCCTTTACGTCTAAACGAGGGGCTCGCTCTCTACAGGAGGAAAGACGCTCCCAGAACCGACTCTTCTCAGAGGCTTCCCGTTTCCCGCGGGCCAGGGCCCAAACCCCTTACACAAAACCTGTAGCGCCCGCAACCCCCAGCCCCTAATATTGGCAAATATATCTCGTTAGTGCCCCTGCACAGGCCGGCCTGCACATGCCCCATGCCTGCTTGTTGCACTCACACGCACACACGTGCACACTCACACACATGCACGCATGGACGCAGTCACAGTAACGCACGTGGACACACTGACACATGCACACATGGGGGACACGTGCACACACATGTACACATACACGTGCACGCATGGGGACATGTACACATACACACACATGCATGGAGCACATGCACACACACATACACATACACATGCATGCATGGGGACACGTGCNCACATGTACACATACACGTGCACGCATGGGGACATGTACACATACACACATGCATGGAGCACATGCACGCACACATACACATACACATGCATGCATGGG